TCTATTCATGAATGATATATCCATGAATTTTCAAATTCGATTTTCATTAAATATAAAACTCCATACGAAAAGTATTATTATTAAAAAATCTTTTAATCTGTCTTTATATGTAAAATCACCTTCTACTCGAATACACTCTTTAATGCAAACAAAATAACACTTTGAACACTGTTTTTCTTCTGCAAGTTACAATACATCATAAGTCAGTTTACAAGTATTTTCTTTTGTATATCTGACCCTTGATTGGTGAAATTCGATATTGACGATTCCCTACTCGACGGATCAGATACCAACGTTCGTAACCCCATGGGACCTCATACTGACATACTGAGAATCCGGGAACCCTATACTAACAACCCTTCCACCCCCTTGCCCCCCCCCCCCACTCGACGAAACAGCGTATAGAAGAGTTTCGGACACGTGGAACATGATACAGCGATATCGAACCCGTGGGATTCGACACAGACGCCCTAGAATACACCAGACTCGATGCAGACAATTCGAAATGCCTGGCATAGGATTGACATTCGCAATGTCCCTAGTAGCATTTATAGTTGGCCAACGGTGTCCAACAGTTTGGAGTTGGTTGGGGTATAGTTAGTGCTTTTTGCCTACAAATTCCCAAAATAGGGCCTACGATGAAAAAGTTATGACAATTTGCCAACGAATATCCAATGTTGAGCCTACAATTATTATAGTTGTTTAAATTAACAAGAAATTTACAATGATAGTACAACATTTGCCCACCCAAAGTTTGCCAACATTTAAATATCGTCTTAAAGACGTCAGAAACGTTGCTGCCACTAAAAAATTGTTATTATATTTCAAATTGATTTTTTTGGTTTCTTATTTATGAATATACTCACAATTTGTTACCGTCGCGCAATACGTTTGACATTTGACATTTTGTGAAAATAGAGTCAGAGGACAGAAGATTGGGAATAACTGCTACTTATAATAATTATTTGTAATAATTAGCTACATGTGCAAATTGTAAATAATAAATTATAAAGGTAACTTTGCTGATAAACACTTATACAGGGTGTAACAAAAATGTTGTCCGACCCGGAAATGGGGCACTCGGGGGGTGAATTGGAACAAGTTTTTCCTTAGCAACAATGTAATCTGAGGCTTCGTTGCCGAGATATTAACGAAAAACACCGACCAATCAGAGCGCGAGTTTGCCAGCCGAGTTCCCGCGGTTGCGTTGCCTACAAATCGCAGCGCGAAGCCACCACTAGCGCGGGAACTCGGTTGGCAAACTCGCCCTCTGATTGGTCGGGGTTTTTCGTTAATATCTCGGTAACGAAGCCTCAGATTACATTGTCGCTAAGGAAAAAGTTGTTTCAATTAACCCCCCGAGTGCCCCGTTTCCGGGTCGGACAACATTTTTGTTACACCCTGTATTTACATCACTGTTCCCAACGAGCGTTGCTACAAAAATAGATGCTCGAAGTTCATATTCCCACCTATTCCTCCTCCCTCTCTCTCTCCTCTCTCTTTGTCTCTCTGTCTGTTTTAACGATCCAACTTGATTTCTGGTAGGAAAATATTATTCCTCGGCGAGTGAGGCAGTCGCTATTTCATTGAGAAATCGATTTCGAAAACACTGCTCCGGGGTGAAACTAGCGGCGAGATTATCCGACAGCAGTGAAACGCCAAGGATAAAATGTCGGGACGGATTTTCGGTCGTTGGAAGCCGACGAAAATCGGCGGTATGACAGGTCATATCTCGTTCTGCCTCTTATTGTTCTTAACGGGCCGCTGTGATTGCATGCTACTGGGGACAATATCACCGGTTCTCGACCGCAACGCGACTCATTACTGCCAGATTTGCGCGAATCACACAATGTGCCAATTTCCGGTATGTATAACACCCGCTGCGATCCAACAGTAATTAAAATAAACAATGTCATTTCAACGATGTGATCCTGATTCAAATATATTTCCGTTTTCCCGCTAATGTCCCAGATAGCACATGACGCCCAATGACGCCTTAAAGACGGCTTAAAGGCGCCTTAGACCTAAAATAGCCGTAAAATAGACATCTTCAGTGCGTCATGTGCTGTCTGGGATCGGGTCTTTCACGATGGATTTTATAGGTTAGGAATCCAGAGAGCACATGACGCCTAGTGACGCCTTGAAGACGGCTTAAAGCCGCCTTAAACCTAAAACAGCCGTAAAATGGACGTCTTCAAGGCGTCATGTACCTATCTGAGTATGTATTAATAATGTGCAGTGGAATGTTAATTATCAGAATACGCGTTAAATCGTCGTGGTTCTTTGAGGAATATAAATGTGTGAATGGGAAGAAGTAGTAATAATTAGAACAATAATAATACATTGTTACTGCGTATTGTGAAATAAATGTACAGTAACTAAAATGAAATATTTTCTGTATTCGAACGTGAAATTGTTGCTATTGACCTAACCTATGAGAATTCATGTTCCATAATTTATTTTTCAGTATTAATTTGTTACTTACTGGAATGAAATTGTTTTGGAAAAATGACATCTACAAAGTTCACGTTGGAAATAAAATATTTAGACAAATTTATACGTATAGTAGTAAAATGACGAACATTTCTGTAAGAGAACACATCGCTATTAATGTGTTATATTTTGTAGTTTTCAAAAAATATTGGTCTTATGTCTTGAAGTCAAGATTCTCTTAGGTTTATTTAGAAATAAGGGAATTTCGGTATAAAATCAAGTACTTAAAATGCCTTACGTATGATTTAAATATAGGTTAAGAAAAATAACCGTGTTATGTGAATTCGTGTTATACAAAACTAACGGTAAATATTCACAAAAGAGGATCCAGCTCCGACCTTAACATATGTTGTCAACGATACTTTTAAGAATTTAACTACCATGCTATACGGGGGTTACTTGCATAAAATTACTCCTAATAATGTCTTTCAAACATATTTTAAAATTGTTTCAAAATTATATTATTGGAATAGTGACTTATATTAGTCGTCAGATGTAGTAGACTGTTCCCGGTTATTCCTATTATAGAACCGGTCGATTAAAATTCAAAGCAATACAATAACGTTAATGCTGAGCAATGCATTAGCATTAACGTTATTCTTATGCATTTGGATGACTTCTGTTACACTTATCTTTCTTTATTAATTCAATAACAATCGTGGAACAATAATAGCAAGATCGAAAGATTCACTAATGTTTGTAAAATTTTATTATAGATAAGTAGAAATTATAACGAATGTTTTTTATAAGTAGGGGTAGTATATAAGAAACACACTAGAAATACAAAAACATAAATGTTAAACAATTTTTCAAAATTAACAGGTAAAAAATTTCGGACAGAGGACATAACATTATTTAATGGTACTTTCAGCATGTTGTACCTAGGCATTTATGTATGTATATTATATCTTCAAAACAGTGGAAATAGTTTTTTCTTTGGAATCAATTATTTTTAATAAGGGTTCCTTCTTAATTATAAAACATGAAAACGTTTGGGATTTATTATTGGATCGAAAGCAAAAAAATCATCGTCCAGTATAAACGCCAAAAAACGCCTCATCAATAATGCAGAGTGTCCAGCACTCGGACGCTTCAAACGAAGCAGGAATTGCTTCCTGTGAAGTCAGATCAGAGGAAACCAGTGTTTTCAAATAACGAAGAGGTTTCTGTATTGCTCTGGGATACCAAAATAAGTAAACTTTTTAGAAACTAATAGTTATACATAAAATGATCATATTAAAAGTATAAAGCTCAATACTATTAGGTCAGAATTTACATGGCCGTTGGAATATATTAAGATTAAATCTGTCTCCACTATAATTGCAAAATATGTGCAAAATTAACAAAGTTCGCAGAGTTGCGATAGACTTTGCGGAAATGATTTAATTTGCAGTGAAGGCATTTTGACCAATTTATGTAAATTATATTATATCGACAAATTATTTCGTACTAAATAAACTATATTAATATATTTTAAATACAATGTTTCATATTTCTCGACCAATTAAATTGAAAGTTTACACGTACATTAAATTTATACGCGATGTTATTTCTTTAACTATTGAAAATGCGAAAAAATGTTTCATATGAAAGTTGTTTGATTTTATGGAGTAAACTTAATAGAATATTTGATTTTTTTAAAATTGTTATTTTAAGAAATTTCAATAACAATGTAATTTTTTAAAACGGAACTACATACTTTATATTACTGGCACGTTATTAGGTATTTCAAGATGAATTCAATGACATATTTCTAAGTCTTGCTTGAACAATAATTTCTCGGATAACTACATGAATATTGGTAGCAATTTCATTCTTTCTTGCCTCGTGGATTACACGTTATGGGTAAAAGACGTTAACCGAACTGAACGTTTGCCAGCAATATTTATGGTCAGGTATCGATAGCATCGACACAGTATCAGATCCAACACTACCCCACAGATCATTTATATTTAAAAAAGAGTAGACACATACTAGTTCATACACACGTAGTTCTATAATCACCGTATTTTATAATCTATAATTTAAATGCTATGGTTTCATAAAATAAATTACTATAATCAAAGTGCTTGTTGTCCCTTCGGTAAGAAGGGTGGTCCATCAAGCGTGTTTATTTAATCGTCGCCACGGCAAGTGCAAATTCATCCGACCCAAAAGATCGTCAGATCACCCACGGATCGATATAAATACATTATTATACCGATTACGGTATAAGATAATGCTAGTATAATTTTATGAAATATTTCGTCATACCAGGAAGACAACTCCAATGGGGATGACAACTTTTTTCGTCATGAAAATTTTTAATGGTACGCATTACGTTTTACGTTGTTCTTACCCATTAAAACCTAGCGTGGCCATATGGGAAAATATATATACATATATAGAATATATATGGGCCATATGGGCCCATTGTGGAACGAGTTGAACAAAAATTAATTCCCCGGTTAACAGGTTAATAATCCGTGACGTGTTAAATTTGTGACTACTCATTCTAACAGCTCGAAATGCCTGGGACCAGATGCCGGGGCCTCGAACGCGAAGAGATCGACGAACAGGGCGTCGAAACGATCCTCCAGTGGCACAACACTTATCGTAATATCGTGGCCAATGGAGACGAACAACGAGGAAATCCAGGCCCACAACGTCCCGCGAAATATATGATGGAACTGGTACGAGCTCCGTTCGTGATCCATGGCTAGAGTTGAATCGATACCGCCAAGGTATCGAAATAAAAGTAACGATACCTACTTGGGTCAAATTATATTTTCCTAACCTTTTGATACCCAACGAAGCTTGAATCGATACCGCCAAGGTATCAATACTTTTACTCATTGCTAGTTTTGTATGAAGGTATCGATACTTACTCGGTATCGAAACAAAAGTATCGAGTAATGTACTCGTAATTACTTGCATCGATTCATCCCTACTCACACCTAACCATACATACCTATATTATTATAATATGGAAAATATTTAAATAGATATTACTTAATTATTAATATAAAGAACATTCTTTTGTGTTGAAAGTAATTACAATAATATCAAATGTTGACGGGCCGATACTCACTCCATTCGATACGAGTACTTTTTTTCGACACCTACTGGGTATCGAAACAAAAGTATCGTACTTATCGAGTAATGTATTCGTATTTACTTGTATCGATTCATCCCTATCCATGGCGATCGATACTTAATCATTCGTATCCGACTGAATCTGACGGGCGGTATTTGTTTCGACAGATCTGGGATGACGAACTCGCTCATATTGCCAAGCGATGGGCGTTGCGGTGCAACCTCTTTGAGAAAGATCAATGCCGAGACGTTGGCAAGTAACTATATCCCATTTTTCACTTCCCTTATTTGTCCCTATCATTTTTCAATATCCACCGTATTATACGGCCGAACGTGAGATTGTTCTAGTACCCACGCTCCACGTCGAAATGGCTGATGTCTACGCCACTTTTCTTACTTTTTCATCGTTTCGTTTATTGTTTCTTTGGTTTTATCGTGCTGCAATTCTGCCCACCCTGGCTCCATTGTTCGAAATGACATTTTCGAACATTTAGAAAAACGGGAGGTTTTTATAAGTTTCTTTGTGTCGTCGATGTTCTTTCAGCATAGGACAATTTAATATAAGAAATGATTTAAGTCATGTTTATTATATTTGTTTCCTCACGCACAGCTTATGGTTGTTATAATATTACTTTAAATTTCCCTTATTTATCCAGTGAATGCTTTATTTACTTTTAAAGAAATGATTTATGTAAAGATCATATAGTTAATGATACACCTTCGAATGATTGTTTCCAAACAGGTATATTAAATAATGCAAATTCATTTGTGTTTTGCTAGCTTTCATAATGGATAAGAAAATTAATTTAAGTTTGATATATGACATAATATTGTTCACAACTTCATTAAAATAAGATTTTTTGTTTACCACTATAACGAATTGCTTGGATTTATTAACAAAGATTCAATCTTGTAGGTCACGTTTCCACAAATACATTGGTTGAAGCACAGTAGATGAAAGAGATTCAAAGGATTGAACGCCAGAGAGCATGTGGGTCATACAGTAGGTCCTATTCTAGCGATTCAATGACCAGAACACGTTTTATTAAAATAATCTCGAATGAGGATCTAGAAATGAACTGGAGACTTCCAGATGTGACTCATCTGATGACAGATCTGTAATAAACGGTGGTCCTAATAAAAAAAGTGACTGCTCTGTCAAGTCAAATATGAAGTTCCATAAGCAATTGTGAAAAGTATTAACTTGATTATTAAATTTGTGACGACATATTAGTTTCATTACAAAGAGATTGAACAAACATTTACCTTCGATTTTGATAATTTTTAGTATATTGGTGAGTTCATTACCCTGAGTAGTATTGTGAAGGTATTAGTTGGGGGTGGCCATTTGTAAAAAGTTATTATAAAAAAAAATTTAGTGTCATACTTTAGTAATGTTGAAAAGTAAAATGACCGATGACCTTGACCTTGACATATGTTGTCAAGGTTACCCTCCTGAGTGACCTCCAGAAAGTTATCAAATGTTGTTAATTAAAACGTTATTAAGAGAAGAATAATATCTTTTCTTGAACTGTCTCTAACCAACTCTGAATGACTTTTTTTCATAACTCCCTCAAAGCAGCGATTCGTCGGTGTTTTTCGTTAATATCTCGTTAACAAAACTTCGGATAACATTTTTGCTAGGGAAAAACTTGTCCCAAATCATCTCACGAGTGTCCCATTTCAGGGACTTCTAACATTATTGTTACACCCTGTATAAATCTGGAACAATGGAGTTAAATTAATCATTGAGAAAAGTGTACATGGGAATACATTTCGATCGAATACATGGTATTTCGAGGAAACCACGCATCTTCAAAATTTCATTCCAGACCACTTCGTATGCACCAACCTAATACACCATTATTCACTATTCATTCTACACTTTTTTGCAATTTCGCAAATTACGGCCGACGAACGCTTTTTCTTGTTACGCAGAGATGCTAGCCCGCGAGACCGTAACCAGCAAACTAAGCATTTTCCCTCGATTCGTGATGCCTATCTCGTTCCAAAGCGGATCGATATTCGCGCAGAGAAATCGCGGCGAAACGTTTTCCACCGGTCTAGTTTTCAGCTATCGGCTGGCACGAAACGTACCTACCCGATCGATCTGACTGATGAATTAAATCGTTGTTGTGTGTAAGGCAGCGTACGAAACTGTCGCCGTGTATTGCGTGTCGAAACGATCTGTATGTGTTCTTTTGCAGAGCGATTCGGTGTATGGCAGAACGTGCACGTGCTCGATATGAACACCGTGGGAAACACCACGTCCGTCACGAGACTTCACTTTCATATTCAATCATGGTACGACAAAGTGGAGGACTTCGATTCCGCGGAATTCGGGTAAGCCCACTGTGTATACAGTATACAGGGTGTAACAAAAATGTTGGAAGACCCAGAAATGGGAGACTCCTGAGGTGATTTGAAACAAGTTTTTCCTTAGCAAAAATCTTATTCCAGGCTTTGTTAAGGAGATATTAACGAAAAACCCCGACCAATCGGAGCGCGAATCTGCCAGCCGAGTTCCCGCGGTAACGTTGGCTACCAATCGCAGCACGTAGGGAACTCGGCCGGTAGACTCGCGCTCCGATTGGTCGGGGTTTTTCGTTAATATCTCCTTAACAAAGCCTCGGATAAGATTTTTGCTAAGGAAAAACTTGTTTCAAATCACCTCAGGAAACTTTCGCATTTACGGTTGGCCAACGGTATCCAATAGTTGGGAGTTAGTTGGGGTATAGTTAGTGTTTTTTGCCTACAAATTCCCAAAATAGGGCCTACGACGAAAAAGTTATGACAATTTGCCAACGAATATCCAATGTTGAGCTGACAATTATTATAATTGTTTCAATTAACAAGAAATTTACAATGATAATACAACATTGCACCACCCAAAGTTTGCCAACATTTAAATATCGTCTTAAAGACGTCAGAAACGTTGCTTCAACCAAAAACGTTTTATAATATTTCACATTGATTTTTTTGTTTTTTTATTTATGAATATACTCACAATTTGTTACTGTCGTGCAACACGTTTGACATTTGACATTTTGTGAAAATAGAGTCAGAGGACAGAAGATTGGGAATAACTTCTACTTATAATAATTACTTGTAATAATTAGCTACATGTATAAATTGTACATGATAAATTGTAAAGGTAACTTTGCTGGTTAAACACTTGTTTACCTGTTTAATATACATAAACAATTTATACATGTACATAATTATTATAACAAGTAATTATTATAAATAATTTTTCCAGTGTTATGCTGGAAAGGATTTTATGGAACTGTAATATAGCCAACTGTCTTCCTGTTATTGGTTTATTGTAGATCCTCAACAATTAGCCCCACAGAAAGAAACATCCAGTTGGCCCATGTAGTATAGTGACTTGGGCCCTACGTTACATATGATTGTTGGCCCAGTTGCAAAAAAGGGTGACAATTCTAACTGTTGGCCAACCAATACCCAGGTAACACATGATGCCTTGAAGACGACTTAAAGACGCCTTAGACCTAAAATTGCCCTAAAATAGGCGTCTTTAAGGCGTCATGCGCTATCTGAGTAGTGCATCAAAGGCCCATCAAAATGCCAACAGTAATTGCTCCTAGGGAAGTCTCCCATTTCCGGGTCCTCCAACATTTTTGTTACACCCTGTACACTTTCGCGCGAGCTTTAAAGCCGCCGTTTTCCTGGACACGTTATTCTTTTTTTTCCCCGACCGTGGCCGAGGCTTAGGTTAATACCCTGGGATTTCCTAGTCCTTTCACAGTCAAAATATGAAGTCTTTGTTGACGAACCGAGCTAGGCCCCACTTTAACTACGAAAAACATTTCTTAGCGAACTAAAAAAACTGAGCGAGTCTGCGGTGAGTAATGCAACTGAAACGTGAATTACTTTACTCGCAGAGGTAGAGTGGGACTTTCCCAGATAGCACATGACGCCTTCAAGGCGGCTTAAAGGTGTCTTAGACCTGAAATAGCCTAAAATGAACGTTTCGAAGGCGTCATGTACTATCTGGGGGAAGTCCCGTTTTTCATATAAGCCTATTTAAAACTTAGTAATAACTATACTGGGGAAGTTTATGCAAATGAACAATTTTAGGTACGAATATTTAACAATTAAAATAGGACATAATCTTAAATTTTGTATTAGAGGCTTGACTATATTTATAATAACACATAAATAATATCAAACTTTGTTAAAATCTTTGTTTTATAAAACAACATTTTTTATAAACAAACTCCGTGCGCGGAGCATAAAGTCTATTGCATGGTGTAAAAAGTTCTTAATACCTTATAATTGGCTTTTTGTGTAATATAAAACTAATAAATGAGTAAAGAACTCTTTTCAAATTAATAAATAGTACATACCAATAAAGAAGCCATACAACGGCATAATTTCTTAAACAAAAGAACGAAAATATGGGACAGAGATTCAGCTCGAACAAAAAATTCCATAATAATCTAGGCTTGTTTGACAAAAAATAAAAATATAAGTCAGTGACTCAGTCTGAACTGAAAACTAAATAAAAATCGTCTTTCTACAAAACAAAAACGCTATTTTATGCATTTTGGAATCATTTCATTATATCTAGGTCATCTTATTATGAAAAGAAATAATAGAAAATATAATTTCAGACTGAACCTTACCTTGTTTAAACAAAAACAAAAATTATTTTCTTAGTATTCACTACCAAAACCCCTAAGGAACTTTTTGCTCCAATGGTAGCTCGGCCGACAGATTCGCGTTCTGATTGGTCGGACTTTTCGTCAATATCTCGTTAACAAAGCCTCGGATAACATTTTTGCTAAGGAGAAACTTGTCAAATTGTCAGTTGTAGTAGGAGTATCATAAATAGCTTAAAAAATTTAGAATGAAAAATAATCTAATAAATAATAGAAAATTAGAAAAACAGAAACATGTACATTTAAAGAAAAAGAAAAATTAATTTTCCGGGGTTCAAACCATCGATACAGTGGTTTAAGAACCTAGCACTTAACCACTTTCGCTTGCATAGCGATTCCAGATGTTGGAATTAGCTTTTATTAATCTTGCATGTATTCAAATCTTAAAAATTAAAAATAAAATATCTTCATAAAAAATTAATATTGACGAAAACGGCAAAATACGGGTCGGCTTATTTTTGCTCTAGATCCACCAAAAAAAGTTTCATTAAAATCGACGTCCCTATGACTTTGGCCTCTACTTGTATGTGTCTAAATGAGAATACGCTGGAACAAAAAGAGATAATTGAAAATGTATGGTTAAAAAATAATTGGACAAGTTAATATTACCGATTAAGAAGTGAATATTTACACCTTTAAAAATTTGTTTGTCATAAATTTCTATTCGTACCAGCGGTATTATTAACGTTCCAAATAAAATATATAAACTGTGTGTAATAGATATCACTTCATAATGCCGTTATGAATTACAATACAGTATTTACTTTTTATGAAGATAAAGTATTGAAAGCGATAAAGTGACGAAAAATGTGTGCCAACAAATAAAATTGTACTGCGAGGAAGATATTTTGTTCACGACACCATTTTATATGTCATTATTTCGTCCTCTACGATTACATTTTTCAGGATATTGACATTGTTTTCATATTTATTTGCGTAGATGCTTGCGTGGAAAATTGAGTGACGAATGTACAGATTTAAATACTTACATCGTAAACACTTTGCACATGTCAAAGCAGAAAAAGGATATCTTTGTTGATATATCATTATCAATATACTTCATTCAGAAAAATCTTACAAGTATACATGATACAAAATAATTACTACTATTACATTCAAAATATTGTACTTTCTACCAGTTAATAAGATCTGCAAATTTTTGGTTCAGTTAGGTTGGACGAGATTTTTCGTTGGGACAAACGATAGACAAATACAGTAGACTCTCGATTAATACCCGTTTCCAATAAGTATGCGCCTCTAGAGCTCCAGATGTGGGTAATTATGGCGAGTCCAGTGTATCCTATGCTTATATATAATTTATACCTATTTTTTTCTGTTGGATCAAATTCTACATAGTTACTTATATTGTCAAATTTATGTAGTTTAACAGGACAAAAGATATGGGATATAAATGTATTTAAACAAATTGTCAATCTTCTTGATCTCTATTTCAATAAATGAAATTGAGTGTTGGTTTCGGGCATAGCGCATTTGTTACCATTTTAATAGACGACGGAAGAATCGTTCGATCTGGTGAATAGGTCCTATTTTCCACTGTATGTGCTTTATACGTTATTCGACGTTCTTTTTTGTTTTTTATGAGCAATACCGAGGAAACATATGAGCAAGCATAAAGTACCTTTTCTATCAAATTAAGTAGACTTTGCCCTATCAGATGATTATTCCTTTAGGTCGCTACAATACTTTGTATTAAGGAGAAACTTCAGAAACAAAATCCATCTACAAACAGGGTAACTGGTACAATGAAATAAGAGTATGGTATAAGATTGAAAAATATAGATGTAACTCTGCCCTTAAAAACGCTAGAAGAAAGGTGATCGTTCTATTATCCGAACACCTATGTCCTCATTAGTTCGGATATGAGAGATTCTACTGTATTTCTGTGTCAATAACTGACAGAATATACCAATTTTATTATTCTCCATGAAAATGCGATCAAACACGATTTTCGGAAAATTTCTAGTTTCACTTATAATAAATGTTGCATCATTAGTTAATTGTACACATTATGGCGCGAATAATTTAAAGTTATCAGTAGACTGCAGATTTTTACGCAAAATGAATTTTTATGAAGTACTTCGTATAGACAAGAACAAAAGATGGTATTTATTTCCTCCCTTAAGTATATCATTGAGTTAATAATAACATATAAAACTCGTTGTATATGATGAAAGTTTCGTCTTTTATTGTACTTCACAGGGCCCTATAGGCTACAAATGCGTAAAATTCGCAGTTATCAGAATACTATTTTATCTAGTTCTCTTTTTGTGGAAGAAATAAAGTAAAGTAAGAAAATTATTATATTGAATTAGTAATTCATACACGAGTACATTATTCGGAACTACTTTGAAGTCTCGGAAGCCGTACGAAGGTTCTCTTTTTGGTGGTCTTTTTTGCTCATTCTCGATAATCTCGTTCGGTTCGAACAAGGGACGCAGCCAATCGTGGATAATTACACACTCTATCTCACGCTGAACAACTTCTCAACTTAAGAGAACTCATTGAAAATGAGTTTCATTATATTCTTTTCTTTCTATAATCGTCAGAGTACCAATAGTTCAACAGTCCCACGAATTCCCGTACTGAGTCAATATTGACCCATACGCATCTCCTTTTTATCTCTCAGATATGTGATTCTCTG